TTGTGCTTTGCCTCTGGTCACTTCCTGTCAGCACCTGTGTGTCCAATCAGACTCAAAGCTGATCGTTTGCTCTTACTCACATTGTTCCCTTTTTTCTAGATCCTTGCTTGTGTTGTTCTTACTCTCTGATGTACGTCACTTTGGATAAAAGAGTCTGCTCAGTGAATTGTAGAATTGTAGAAGTATGAACCAATTCAAAAATAGACTTTAATCATGAATCCAGACTCGTTTTGATAGATTCTCAATTGAATCGTGAGACACCCAAAGATTCCCAGCACTACCTGTTTTGATACGACAACAAAACTCGACGTCCTAGTCCACTCAGTATTTGATAATTCATTATTTTTAATAAACTTAAAGTGCAAGAACAAAGAAGATTACTTGGTTACCCTAACCCTGAACAGTTTGTGTTTGATTTTCTACATGTTTTGATTGGTTCATGTCAGTATCAGCTGCTCACGTTTAGACTTGAGGTAATCCCCCCCCCCCACATTGGTGTCTGAGTGTTTGACATGACTTGCAGTATTTGTGTCTTGATGGAGGAGTTGGCAGTGGTTTGCTCAACCAGTAAAGTAAATATGAGGTCATGGAAATGGAAGGCAGGCCTCTTCTCTTTTTGAACAATTAGATGGGCTGATAGGCGAGCAGAGTACGAGCAAGGCTGCAGCCACAGCTCTCGTCCTGATGAGATTAGTCACCAGGACTTCTCTCTCCTCGGACTAATTTGAAAATGCATCCTCATCGGACCGACCTGGACCTTTCTTATCTGCTCCTTTGCAGAGATATAGAAGCAGAGACGATGCTGGAGGGTAGGGCACCTTTATTCTCAGGAAGCTACAATTTGTTCAAAAGAGTTTTTTTTTTTTTTTTTTAGGAAAGTCTGCAGGACAGGAAGTCGGTTTTATTGTAGTTTTTTACAGTCTGGCTTTCTAATCACCTCTCCTTCCGTCCCGGTGATGGATTACTGTTCTTGGGTTTCATCCACATCCCTCATCTCCTCCTCTTATTACTTTCTGCATTTCCTTGTTGCTACTCTACCTTTCTACATTTTGTTTTTAACGGTATGACGGATAATAATTTAATGCGATGATCAACTTCTTTAATACCACTTGGCGACAATGCAACACATTGTACTCTTTTTTGATTGCCAACCAAAATGATTCTGAGCATCTGTAGCTTTCATTTTGTGTTTTATCTTAATGATGTGATGCTGAACAGTCGATCGCAGATAATCACAGAGTTTAAAGATGATGAAATACATGTCAATCAACATTTATTTGTCCAGCACCAATTCATAACAAACGAACCGGTTAAAGAGCTCACTCATTGATAATATGCAGGAAGGATTTCTTCTTTGTATTATTGGTGTTCCTGTTGTCCACACTTAGTGGAGGTCGGAGCAGGCCATGCATGAGTGAGTACGGCGGTGGTTGTGGGGACGACACAGTCCAATGGTGGAGGCGGGGCGTCAGAGACGTCGGGCGGTTGTAGTGCCAGATAACCTCACTCCGTCTACTCGAGAGTCCAGGATGTATGAACTCATGTCTCATGAAACTCTTTTTTTTCGCATTGACTTCATTTTTATCACCCAAGCTTCCTGCCTGGTCGGTTGCTGGGTATTGGGACACACAACTGCAGATAACATCCTGATCAGTTGCTTTCAACCATTTGGACTGTTTGATTAAATTCTGCCATATTCAAACATTTTGGTCGCACAACTGCATACTCTCGCACAATGAGAGCAACGATCTGATTCTCAGACTTCAGTATTTTTTTTGCTGTAACTCCTGCGCATAATGTCTAAAATCACCATGACAACAGCAGGGACGTTCAATGTTTCTTTCCCCTCTTATAATGACACTTGTAGAGAGTTTACATTCCACCACAACATTTTGACAAACCGCACAGAGTATGCCTTAGCAAACTACTTAGCAAACTACTTCCTGAACCCATGCAATAATTTAGTATTAAGTTGAGTGAATATACAGAGCTACACCTCCTCTCTGAAGGGCCACTACTCTGCTGAGGGCCCTGCAGACTGAGGGCAGTCGATTGAAAGAGAGATGTTTAACCCTGTTGCATCATTATGGACATTTTTGTCCATTTGGTCAAATGTTTCCTCTTCATCTGCTCATCATTTTGTCTGTTAGTGCATATGGAACACATGTTTTGTAAGAAAGTCAAATTTTGGAATGCACATTTTATTTTTTAATAAATTAATAGAAGATTGTGAAACATGTTTACTACCCTCTGAAGTCAATACCGACAAAAATGTCCACTTACAAAAAAACTGCTATAAAAATAAAACAGATTGATATTTTTTTCTACTTTTTTTTTGCATAAATCTCTTAAACAACTTCAGCCCTGCTCAAAACTACCAAACATTCAATCATTTTTAGGAATTTAACCCTTTAAATGACAGTTTGATTACATGATGTTACTGTTGTTATTTATGAAAAAAACAAACACAAAAATGAGTTATTTTCCATAAAACAAATATTTGGTGGCTGGAGGATTTTTTTTAAAATCAGTCTTGGATATGTTATTGTCCAAAATATTGACTTTGATGCATTGTTAGTTTTTGTGTAGTATCAGATTTAAAATGTAGTTCCCTGTTTGGACATTGGAGGACAAAAATGTCCAATTTGAGGTGTGTATAAAATCAAGATCGTCTTTTTGACATACTGTAGCAGACCCATTTCCAGAGCGGGACATTACAGGGTTCTAGATGCATACATCTGGACAGAAAATCGTTGCTTCATTAGCAGTTCCTTTTTGAGTGTTCTCGTATTCACGTGGATGTGGTCTGAGATTTGCTGCTGCTCCCTCTTAACTCCCTCTTCCATCTAATCTCGTGATCTGGGTTTGCTTTAAATGCATTTCCATTTGGCCTCATTACTCTCTGAGAGGACTGGCACCACGAGAAGAGAGAGCCAGATATCTCTCCCCCTTGGCCACTTGGCAGGACTACAGTTTCTTTGAGTATGTATATCTGAGTGTGTGTATCATAGAGTATGGGTGTACAGTGCTTGTTGGGAAGTCTCTGTCACACACACACACACATACATACAAATGGGGACTACTTTTTCTCTGGAGTTCCTTTCATTCAGGGCTTATCTGATGTCTGTGCACAGAATCAAATCAGATAGCTATTCAACTCGACTTGGACCTTTGATTTAATTTTATCTTCCACGTTTGTAAATGGACTCAAAGCGCTTTGCTATGTAAAGTGACCATCAGAAGTACACTCGTACACATTCATACGCCTCCAATGAAGTAACAGGAACTTGGGGTTTAGTGTCTTGCCCAAGGACACATCGGATATGAGGACCTTTCAGTTGAGAGATGACCAACTCTACCAACTGAGCCAAAGCCGCCCTGAGCGATTACCTTTTATATTCATTCAAATACCTTTTCAGATTTAATTCACTCTCAAGCCAAAATAATTTTCCAAACAATTTCAGCAGTGTAGAAAATCTTTCCAATGTCAGAATAAAATCCTGAGCTTTCCTTGAGTTGAAGCCTTCCAGTAATGAAGATCATTTGGTCTGCAGCGGTCCCTTAACTCAGTCGAAGCTTTCCTTAGTTTTTGTCTTTCTCATGAAGATGTTCTGATGAAATCCCAACATGCTGAGATCGTCTCAGTTTTAAGGTTCTGTAAGATCTCACATTTGGTGCAAGTGGTGCTCCAAATATTTAAAAACCTGAAGTAATTTTATCGTAACTGGCACAATGAAAAACAGTTTGACAAGAGGTTGTGCAACAACAACTTGGTGCCGATTTTCCAAGGGAAGGTATTGATAACCACTAAAAAAGCAGCTGAATCGGCATCTGGATTTAGACGTAGCTGCTGCTTGGTTTAAACCAATAAACCAAACGTCTACACATCTACTACCAAACGTCTGATATTGTTGGCTAACATAGGGCATGCTTTCAATGAACGTTTTCTGGATAGAGCTGATTTACCCGAGCAACCATATGTTGGTGAAATAAATCAAATCTGTGCAACTCCTCTTGAGTCTTTCTTACTGCTTGGTGACACAGCCAGCCTCTGTGTGTGTGTGCAGGTGGGGTTCCTCCATGGCAGCAGCAGCAGCAGCTGTGTTTGACAGATGCTAAATTACAGTGTAGACCTCATGGTTGTTTCTCTCTCTGGCTCTGGCAGCCTAATAATAGCATTAGCTTGAGCAGTGGAGAACCTCAGTGGTCATGATGACATGGCTGACGGTTTGTGTGGAGGCGACGCTGCCAAAATCCATCTTTGATTCAGAGCTGCTTAAATATCTGGAAAGCAAATTGTAGAGTGCCAACAACCAGGGGCAGAATTATTTATTTCTTTAAAGTCTTTATATGTGATTGTTCACACTTAAATGTATAAATCAAGTTTATCCTCTGAAAATAACTCTGTGAGTCTTGACTGTCTACAATGGGTGTAACACCCGAGTCCCACTGTCTGTGATGTTTTCAGAGTTTTCAGAGTCCTACCTTCACTTTGTTTACATCGCCGGGACGGCCGGCTGACTCCTCCCCTCGTGTATAAAAGTTGTTTAATTGAGGGACTAGAGAAAAGAAGAATAACATACTGTACTCACTGCTTAACTGTGTTTCTAGATCACGCTCATTTCAGGTAAATTTACATGCAGTGTGAAGATACCAGCATAATAAAGATCGCTAGCATTAGCATGCTAACACAACAATGCAGCGTGAGTTGTTTTGGTTTCATGCTGGTGCTCAAGGGCGACATCTGCTGGATCAAAACATCACATATAAAGACTTTAAAGCTTTGATGGAGTAAGATGATATTTTCTGTGAGCTTCGATTGACTATGAATTAAAAATAGAGTCAACATATGAGAGAAGATAACATCCAGACTTCTCTTTGAAAACATCGTCTGTATGATAACAGACCTGTCTCATGAAAAAAACATGGAGTTTGATGTCCTCAAAATTTCAATCCTCCCTAACACGCGTTGTCCTCTTCCTCTGTGTTTGCAGGTTTATCTGATGTGCCGTGAGCAGTGGGAGCACCGGCCCTTCAGCCCTGGTGCCGCCCGGCCTGGTTAACCAGGATGGACCCTGCTCATTCCCACAGGGTGGAGCCGGACGGCCTGGACCTCCAGCAGGTCCCGGTGCTGTCGCTCGAACAGATACGCGCCATCCGGGCCAACAACGACTACGTGGACCGGCCCGTGGCGCTGGAACCGGCATCCCAGTCTGGATTTTTCAATGTCCACGACGAAGGTTATCCTCAAGGAGTGTACTCGCACCGTCCCCAGTCGTCCTTCCACTCGGCCCTGTCCCGCAGCCAAAGTCAGCAGCAGCACGCTCACCTGGCCCACCTGAGCCGTTCCAGTACCATAAGCTCTTCCATGTCCCGGACAAGTGCCACGTCGGACCAGCGGCTGCTCGGGGGTTTGCCGTCGTCTCACTCCGGCCTGGGCTCGGTGGTCCGTGCTCAGCCCAAAGGAGAACTAAAGCCCGACGTTTCCTTCGGTAAAGGCCTGACGGACGACGAGGCCGACCTCGGCCTTCACTCGTTCATCTGCGAGCGGTGCGGTCGCTGCAAGTGCCACGAGTGCTGCGCGCCCCGCCGCCTGCCTTCCTGTTGGGCCTGTGGACAGCGCTGCCTGTGCTCGGCCGAGAGCGCGGTGGAGTACGGCACCTGCCTGTGCTGCGTCAAAGGTCTGTTCTACCACTGCTCCGCCCAGGACGACGAGGACAACTGCGCCGATCGCCCGTGCTCCTGCACCCCCGCCCACGCTTGCGCCCGCTGGGGCACCATGGGGCTGCTGGCGCTCTGCCTGCCCTGCCTCTGCTGCTACCCCCCCGCCAGGCTGTGCCTTGCCCTGTGCCAGCGTGCCCACGACCGGGCCGCGCGCCCCGGCTGCAGATGTAGCAACACCAACACCGTGTGCCGCAAGATCTCCGCCTCCAACCCGAACCCCGGTCATCCCGCGCTCCGCAGCAAGGCCCTGGAGAAGCCGTTATGACAGACCCTAGATGGGGGCCAAGGTAAATCCACTTCCCTCAGCCGTCGCCAAAGCAATGCTGTCGCCAACGGTGCCACAGCTGACCATGTGACCCGCCTACCTACATACAACAAGCCAACCAATCAGCCGACCGTGAAGTGTTGTTCACCTTATGTACCTTGACTTGACTTCTTCTCCAGCTCAGGAGGGACCAAAGCTTTATTGTGCCTGTTCATGTTGGGAGTCTTCATGCCTAAAAAACTAAATCCTGAAGAAGAAGAAGAAGCTGTTGTGCTTTGCTGGACTGCCCTTCAACCTTAAGCTTCCAGAGAGAAAAACAAACCACCTCTCTCTGCATTCTGTGGTGTCATCTGGTCGCGTTACCCTACTTTATTTATTGTTGAACCTCCTTCTTCCCCGACCGTTTGAGAAAAAGAAAAACTCACAGAGCACAGAAGAGACGGGCGGGCGCTGGACCAAATCATGAAGGAAAGAAGCCTGTGGCGACGTGTGTGTGTGTGTGTGTGTGTGTGTGTGTGTGTGTGTGTGTGTGTGTGTGTGTGTGTGCGTGCGTGTGTGGTCCCTGCCAAACAGAGTTTCTGTCCTCTTGATAAGAGAGACTCTGAAGGAAGAATGGCCGACGAGGACTTCAATCACAATGACATTCAGAAAAATTCCTCCAAACAGTTGAAGATGAATGAAGAAAAAAAACGACATTGAGCTTTGGTGAATATCAGACTGGGACAAAGAACCAAGGCGAAGAGAGTGCGATACACAGACACTTGTTTGCGACCAAAAAAAAAAAAAGGACCACGCACTGTACGAACTGAGTGAATTCCAATGCTATTAAGCTCATTTGTAAAAGGAAAAGCACTGTGAGGTAGATGGACAATGTTTTCCCCAAGCAGCCGAGAGCTGAATGGGAGATTATTTAACCGGGAGGGAGGGTGCATCCATTGTGACTAGGCAGCGTGTGTGTGTGTGTGTGTGTGTGTGTGTGTGTGTCCTCCTACTGTACGACAACCTGTGTATGTAGAGCGTGTGTGTGTGTGTGTGTGTGTGTGTGTGTGTGTGTGTGTGTGTGTGTGTGTGTGTGTGTTGTTTTGTCAGCAGAAGAAGCCTCCCTTGTCTTATTTTTAGCAGCGTTTCTACAGTGGAGCTCTGAGGGGTCTGGTCAGGTTTCCTCCTGAAGTCAGTCTGTCGCCATCCTCCCTCCTCCTCTGACCGACCTCCTCCATCCTCCCTCCTCCTCCTCTGACCGACCTCCTCCATCCTCCCTCCTCCTCTGACCGACCTCCTCCATCCTCCCTCCTCCTCTGACCGACCTCCTCCATCCTCCTCCTCCTCCTCTGACCGACCTCCTCCATCCTCCCTCCTCCTCTGACCGACCTCCTCCATCCTCCTCCTCCTCTGACCGACCTCCTCCATCCTCCCTCCTCCTCTGACCGACCTCCTCCATCCTCCCTCCTCCTCTGACCGACCTCCTCCATCCTCCTCCTCCTCTGACCGACCTCCTCCATCCTCCTCCTCCTCTGACCGACCTCCTCCATCCTCCTCCTCCTCCTCTGACCGACCTCCTCCATCCTCCTCCTCCTCTGACCGACCTCCTCCATCCTCCTCCTCCTCTGACCGACCTCCTCCATCCTCCCTCCTCCTCTGACCGACCTCCTCCATCCTCCCTCCTCCTCTGACCGACCTCCTCCATCCTCCCTCCTCCTCTGACCGACCTCCTCCATCCTCCCTCCTCCTCTGACCGACCTCCTCCATCCTCCCTCCTCCTCTGACCGACCTCCTCCATCCTCCTCCTCCTCTGACCGACCTCCTCCATCCTCCTCCTCCTCTGACCGACCTCCTCCATCCTCCCTCCTCCTCTGACCGACCTCCTCCATCCTCCTCCTCGTCTCCTCCAAGCCTCAAACCCAACTCTCCTCCCTGAAACCTCATTTTTGTCCCATTTTTATTAAGGCACTCCTCTTGTGATGCAAATAGCTTCAGTAGTTTGGTACACAATCAAAGAGTAATAACGCAACCATGGAAGTACGGTGAAGACAAAAGTAGGGATGTTCCAACGAGCTCATTTCCAAGTGGATAAAACTCAAATTTAAATTCAGACTAGTTGACAAGTCCAAAGTTTTTAAACGGGGCTAAACACTCGATCGGCGTCTACGGGTAAACAATGTCAAATTGGCTTACATTAGCATTGCTAGCATCCCCAGCCTTCAGCCCATCTTGTAGGTTGATGCCCACATGCTGGATGTGGTTATACACCAGTTTAACCAGACGCAGCCTACATGCAACTTCCTCCCCATCGTCTAAAACAAAATACTACCAAACCGCACTGTGTTAGCTACAGGAGTTCCTGCGATTATTCAAAAGGTAAAATGTTGCTCACTTAAAGCCAATGTAGCATCACCGCTGTATTTGGACTTGACTAAAGCAACTGGTTTAAAAAACCCAAAACTAAAACGCTTTAGCAAACACGCCTGCCATATAAAAAAATACCAGTTTAAAGGCTTTATTTTTTGATCCAGCAGATGTCGCCCTTGAGCACCAGCATGAAACCAAAACAACTCACGCTGCATTGTTGTGTTAGCATGCTAATGCTAGCGATCTTTATTATGCTGGTATCTTCACACTGCATGTAAATTTACCTGAAATGAGCGTGATCTAGAAACACAGTTAAGCAGTGAGTACAGTATGTTATTCTTCTTTTCTCTAGTCCCTCAATTAAACACTTTTATACACGAGGGGAGGAGTCAGCCGGCCGTCCAGGCGATGTAAACAAAGTGAAGATAGGACTCTGAAAACTCTGAAAACATCACAGACAGTGGGACTCGGGTGTTACACCCATTGTAGACAGTCATGACTCACAGAGTTATTTTCAGAGGAGATACTTGATTTCTACATTTAAGGGTTAAAAATCACATAAAGACTTTACGTAACTCTTCTTCCAGAGCCAGACTAGATGTTGGTGATGTTTTCAATCCAGGACAGAGAATGAAAATCTTCCCGTGTTTGACCCAGAAAGATAAAGTTGATGATTTCCTCCTGTTCTTCCGTTTAAAAATGACCACCACACAAAAAGAAAAAAAACAACTTCAACCAAACCCAACAAGCAAAAAAAAAAGGCGAGCTGACACAAGGCGTATCTTTCCCAGACACCCATCTATCCCCTCCCGCCTCGTCCGCCTCTCCTCTTACGCTCAGAGGGCTAAAAGCCTCCAGTTCCTGGTCCACAGAGAGTTGATCAAACAGGCAATTAGCTTCATGATAGCTCTTAATGGGCCGGAGAAGAATGGAGCGTGGGAGGGCGAGGAGGGGGAAGAGAGGGGACAGGATGAGTGGGGTTGTGGTGTTTGGCAGATGGACGGATGATGGGGAGAGAAAAAGGATGCTGGGAGGGGGAAACGAGAGGAGAGGGGTTGGATCCAGTAAAGGTTGATGTCATCAGTAAGTCTGATGGAGACTGCAGGAGAACGCCGCTTTAATGAGCTTTAATGTAACAACACAACATGGCTTCTCCAGATCTGACACAAAACAACACACACACACACACAGGTGTGTGCAGGTGCGTGTGTGCTTACACCTGTGTGTGTGTGCATGTACATGTTTTTGAGTGTGTGTGTGGTAATGTCAGGATGCATATGGGCCGTTCTGAGAGTGTGTGTGTGTGTGGTTGTGTGTGTGTCACACGGACACACACTTGATTTGTTCAAAGTTACTTTGCTATATTTTTATATGTAAATAACGGGCTGTTGACTGCATAACTATTTTTATTCTGCTCTGTTTTTTGGTTTGGATGAAATCAATATAAATACAGCTGTTTTCCATTATAGTGAATATTTACTTATTTACCGTCAACCTGTGGTCAAATCAGGAACTTTTGGGGCAACGTTGACAGCAATCACTATGACAACTAAATGAGTTCTGTGAGATCAAGTCACCACAAGTCACACAAGGACACGTTCAGTTTAAACACTTTAAAGCTTTTTACAGGAAGTAGTGACAATCAAGCTATCGTGGGGCGCTGGTTCGGGTCCGGCCTTGGGCTTCTTTCCCCACTCTCTCTCTCCCTGATTTCCGACTCTATCCACAGTGTACTGTCTCTCCAATGGAGGCACAAAAAGCCAAAAGAAATCTCTTTAAAATAAAAAATAGATAAATCTATGGTGTCTCGCAGCGTTGTGAAAGTGGGAAGTCTTTGGACCTCTCTAGGGCTTTTTTTTTATGAATCAGTTAATGGCAACCACAAAGCCTTAAGCTACTTCATGAATCATTGCAATCCAAACTGTTGCACATGATAAAACTTTTGCCTGCAGACGTGATAAAGGACTTCCTGTTTCAACCAGCAGGCGTCCAGCAAACTGATGACGTAGGGCGTAAAGAGGCGGCATCTGCCATTTTTTATCCACATGCCAATAAATCTTTTGGTTGTTAATTTTCACATTTTATGAGTTTTAATATCTTTGTGGTCCAAATGCTCTTCAACCTTTTTCCAGAAGGTCGCGTGAGGAGTCGTACGGGTTCGTCCCGTTTAATCAGGGGAACATTTAGCAAGAATTAAATAGTTTGACTTTCAGGTTGTCAATACTTTTGATACTTTGATGCCTCGTGTTTTAGATACAAGCTCCAATATTTTAGTCATCAATAGAATGAGGAGGGCCAAAGCTGTTTAGAAAAACTTTCAGCTCTCCAGTTATATTCTTAACCCAAAGCTGCAAAAAGCAAAAGAAGGAGTTAATATTGTAACTGTACACGAATGGGCAACATTGTGGTACTGATGTGTCACCAATTTATCTGTCAGGGTGCAGGAGATTGCTTGCAATTTTTGTGAATTGGTCTCGACTACTAAACACTAAAAACTGGTAATGACAGAAGTCGGACTTCATGGCTCTCTTGTCAGAAGCTGAAAAGGCAAACTACCTTCTTGTATTCTTTCCACAACAAGTCAGCGCGCAAAGCAAATGGTTCAGAAGGAATTGTGTTTTAAGTTGCTCAAGTCGCTTTAAGTCAATGACTTCAATCGGTGGACTATCACTGAATTAGTTCAGAGAGGTTAGAAATGTTCCAATAAACTGATCGTGGTTTGCTTTCTTGACATTTATTTGGTCACGTTGCCCCAAAATGTTCCCCCAGCTCATCACAGGTTTCACTTCCATCGACAGGTTGGCAACTGAGGAGGACGCGCTCAATTTAACTTTTTGCTTTTTTTTTATATTAATGTTTCAACTTTCACGATTTTTAGTGCAACCTATGACATCATAACTTTTATTAGCTGACACATTGCCAAGCAAAAAAAAGAAATCACAAGTTTTATTACTGACACCTTTGAATGAAATCACCGTTACCACCACACGACTGCAGATGAATTTGAAAATGTTTTTTTTCTACCAATGAAGCAGCACAAGTGCAAACATTTGGAATAAAGCCGGCGTCCATGTCGCGGCGTAGACAAAACAAGAAGCTGATCTTTTCCAAATATGCTGATGTGTGCTTGTCATGGGAGCCGTTTTCTGATAATTAGCCGGCTCGTTGTCTCCTGCATGCTCTGGGAACGACAAACAACGCTGCAAAAGCACTTTGTGTGACGACGCTGCAGATAGAAGAAACACGTCTCTATCACCACATGAACAGAAAACGTTTTTCAGATTAACCTGCGGTCATCGTGTGGTCATCGCCACACACACACACACACACACACACACACACACACACACACACACACACACACACACACACACACACACTGTCTCCTCTACATTGGTGGGATGACTTCAGTCACTTCTTGGTGCTTGGGGGAGAAACTTGAGGAACTTTTATTTGTACCCAGATTGTTTTCTATCCGAGCTGAATGACGTCGCAGACAAGACGGTTGCATATTTCTTTTTTTTTTTGAACTATTTGTTTTTCAATTGTGCTCAAAAGTAGCTTCACAATACAACGATGAACTTTGACCAATCGTGACCTCTTAAGGTTGCAATGCTTTGAAAGATTGACAAATACACAGAGCGTCTGGGCTGGTCACGTTGGGTTTTCACTTAAAAAAAAGGAGGTTTTGTCAGAGCTTTTCTTGCTCTTTCTTGTTACTTTCAAACTGTTAAGCCGTAAAATGTTGCATTTGGCAGCATTAAAGGCGGGGTTGTTAATTTTCCAAAACTAGCTTGATTTTGAAAGTAGCATTCCCTCTTGATTGGTTCATCAGATTGGTACCTCGTGGCAGACATTGGTTGAAGTTTTTACAGACTTACAAACTGATACAGATGATGGATTTTCTT